TTGGGCAATCCTACTTCCGTAGTGATACTGCCTCGGAAACCCAAGGAGGGGTCGCTATGAGTCGGGGCCGACTCGATGGCAAATAACAACAACATAACAAAGGGGCAGGGAGGTGGCATTTTCTGACCTCCTCTAACTACACAGGAGTTCTGGTAGCATAGTGCCTAATGCATTTGACTGCTAACCAGAAGGCTGGAAGTTCAAACCCACCAGCCAGTCCTCAGAAGGAAAGTTGGACAGTCTGCTTCTGTAGTGATACCACCTTGGAAACCCAAGGAGGGGTCGCTAAGAATTGGATACATCTAACTACACAAGAGGAGGACAGAATTACCATCAGCAGCCCAAGGCCTGTTCCTATGAGAACAGACATGTTGCCACACTCCAGCCCTCTTACTAACCTTGACACTTATTAAATTTGACCTGTTCTTCCTGTGGCACCCACCACCTCTCTAGTGGGTTCAGTAATTTGCTGCAGTGGCTACACGGAACTCACAGATTATAGGGCTTATTAGGGAAGCAACAGGCTGTAATTCAAGTTCAGGAACATGCTGAGTCTCTTGTGGCCCACTCTCTCACTCAGCAGCCGACAGTCTCTCTCAGTAACACGTCTCTCTCTCAGGAGTGCATCTCTCTCACATCTCCTCTCTGCAGCACGTGTCTCTCATGACTCTCTCGGTCAGCAGGTGCATCTCTCACCAGCATGTCTCTCAACCAGCAGTGAGAGAATCGCATTGCCTCTAGGAGGGCTCCTTCTCAGCCTGGCAGAGTGACCAAACTAACCAATCCCAATATCAGAACTCTGTACACCTGTGAGAGAGCAAACTAATCAGAAGATTGCTTTGTATTGCTCCAGGTGGATGCCTTTAACAAGTAGCTACTCAGTTACTCATGGCAAAGTGGGAATTACAAATACTATGGCTAGAAAAGCCATATCATGTAATTTACTACCCTGCAGAGACCTTCTAAAGAATAGATGTGATGCATTGAATACCAGTGACCAAAACCAGAGGAATTGTGGAATGACATCAGGAACATCATCATCCATGAAGAAAGCAAAAGGTTATTAAAAAGACAGGAAGGGAAGAAAAGACCAAAATAGATGTCAGAATAAACTCTGAAACTTGGCCTTTGAGTGGAGAGTAGCTAAAGCAAATGGAAGAAATGACAAGATAAAAGAGCTGAACAGGTTTCAAAGAGCAGCTCGAGAAGACAAAGTCAATTATTATAATGAAATGTGCAAAGACCTAGAGTTAGAAAACCAAAAGGGAAGAACACGCTGGACATTTCTCAAGCTGTGACCGAGTATAAGCCTCGAGTTGCAATATTGAAAGATTCTGTGGGCAAAATACTGATGTTTATCTGTGTTTTATTGACTATGCAAAAGCATTCAATTGTGTGGATCATAACAAATTGTGGATAACATTGACAAGAATGGGAATTCCAGGACACTTAATAGTACTCATGAAGAACCTGTACATAGACCAAGAGGCTGTTGTTTGAACAGGCAAGGAGATACTGCATGGTTTAATATTGAGAAATTAGTGTGTCAGGGTTGTATCCTTTCACTATACTTACCAGTTTCTATGCTATGCAAATAATCTGAGACGCTGGACTATAAAGAAGAACGTGATATTAGGATTGGAGGAAAACTCATTAACAGCCTGCGGTATGCAGATGACACAAACTTGCCTGCTGAAAGTGAAGATCACTTGAAGCACTTAGTGAAGAAGATTGAAGACAGTATCTATTACACCTGAATATAAAGAAAAAAAAATTCTCACAAGTGGACCAATAAGCAGTATCATGATAAATGGAGAAAAGATTGAAGTTGTCAAAGACTTCCTATTACTTGCTTCTACAACCAGTACCAATGGAAGCAGCATTCAGGACATAAGAGGATGTAGTGCATTTGGGAAATCTGCTGCCAAAGACCTCTTTCAAAGGTTTATATATGGAAGGAAACTTTTCTTTGTTGGTTATCAAGGGTGGATGGAGAGGGGACAGAACACTGCAAGAAAAAAAAAAGAAATGCATTGACCTATGTCACTTTAATTTTGTGTATTTCACTGTACATAAAGTACGTTTCAATAAAATGTATTTAAAAAAAAAAAAAAAAAACTTTTTCAAGTGCTGAAGTGCAAAGATGTCTCCTTGAAGTCTAACGTGGCCCTCAGAAACCCAAGGAGGGGTCACTAAGAGTCAGGTCTGACGATGGCACATAACAACAACAACAACATAAGCCAAGGTATTTTCAGTCTCCTCATATGCACGTGAGAGGTGGATAATTAATCAGCAAGACCAAAGAAGAGTTGATGCTTTTGAGTTGTTGTGTTGATGAACAATACTCAAGAGTACCATGGACTGCTAAAAGAACTGAAATCTGCCCTGGAAGTGCAGCCAGGATACTCCTTGGAAGTGAGAATAGCCAGACTTCTTCTCACCTACTTTGGTCATGTTGTCAGAAGGGATCATTCCCTGGAGAAGGATATCATGCTTGGTAAAGTGGAGGCTCAACAGAAAAGGGGAAGACCCTCAAGAAGATGGAATAACACTGTGGCCACAGCGATGGGCTCAGGTATAGCAGGGATCGTCAGTCTGGCACAGGACCAGGCACTGTTTTGTTCTGTTGTGCATAAGGTCACCATGAGTTGGAGACAACTCGACAGCACCTAACAACAAACAACAATAAGCAAGATCAGGACAACCAAAGGTTAAAGTTTACAGAATCACAGGTGTATGGAGAATCTTGAAGGAAACCCAGTACAGTTTCTACACTTCATTGTTAACTGAGTGTTACTTTAGGTTGTGCTTGATTGGATAGTGGTGAATGCCTGAGTCTTCTGTTTTTCCTGTGAACAGTTGTACTTATTAGAAAGTTTTCATTCTTTGGAAACTATTTCTCTAAGCTACCACACCTTTTGGGAATGTCAGACATATTTATTCTCTCTTGACATATTTAAAGATCGTAGTCATAGCCCTTTTAGTCCTCTTCTTGCATGGTTCACTTATTCCACAACTAAAGGTTCATGTTCATTGTTCAAAATATGAAAGGTCTAGAGCTGTCCTGTTCAGTACAGTAGTCACTAGATACATGTGGATATTGAGCACTTGAAATGCATGCAGCTTGAATTGAGACTTGCTTCAAAATATACACCAGATTTGAAGACTCAATCCAAAGGAATAACTCATTGTTTTTACCTATTTCTTTTTAAAAACGTGATTAGTAGAAAATTTAAAATCATATGTGTCTTGTCTTATATTTCTAATAGACAGTGCTGATCTTTGTAACTAGGAAGGATGAAGTATTTATAAAATTTTTTAGGTACCTGATTGTATTTGTCCCTGAGCTTCCTCTTACCCTTTCTCTGAAGTTTACTTCTCTTTTGCTTGCTCTAGGTTCTTGATAGTTTAAGATACATTACATATTTCTAAAATAACCCCTAGAGTAGCTTCAGAATTAGGAGTGCTGTTTTGTAATATTTCCAGTAACAGTGTAGAGAAAAGAATATGAACTTTGAAGCTGTTAATCTAAAATTGGTGATTAAGTACTTTTCATTAAAGCTTGTGCATTAGGTCTTTTAAATTGTCAGATACACTGTGAAATGAAGGTAATAGGCAAGCACTGGAAAAAATGTGGCAATCTGGTCTACGTAATCAGAAAAATGAGACAGCATATGTAGAGATTTCTTGATAACTATGTAAATGATTCTTACTATCTGGGAAAATTGTTGTTAGGTGCCATTAAGTTGGTTCTAATTCATAGTGACCCATTGTAGAACAGAATGAAACACTACCCAGTCCTCCTCCATACTCACAGCCATTTTGTTTGAAGCCATTTTTTATAGCAGCTGTATCAGTCCATCTTGTTGAGGGTCTTCCTCTGTTTTACTGGCCCTCTACTTTACGAAGCATGATGTCCTTCTCCAGCAGCTGGCCCCTTCTGATATAACATGTCAAAAGTACGAGAGACGAGGTCTTGCCATACTTATGCTTCTAAGGAACATTCTTACTGTACTTTTATCTAAGACATATTTGTTCTTCTGGCAGTCTGTAATATAATCAGTATTCTTTGCTAACACCATAATTCAGAGGCATCAATTATTCTTCAGAAGACCCAATCAAGAACACCATGCTTGAGTCAGGCCCCCAAAAAGTGACATCTTTGCTTTTTAACTCTTTTAAGAAGCCTTTTGCAGCAGATTTGCCCAATGTTATGTCGTTGTTGTTGTTGTTACATGCCATTGAGTTGCACCTGACTCATAGCGACCTCTCCTTGGGTTTCCAAGGCGGTATCACTACAGAAGTAGATTGCCCAATTTTCCTCCCAAGCCCAGTGTGATAAGTCATTTGATTTCTAAATTGCTACTTCTTTGGATGTTGATTGGGGATCCAAGTAAAATGAAATCCCTGACAACCTCAATCGTTTCACCATTTAATGTGATATTGCTTATTGTTCCAGTTATAAGGATTTTGGTTTTCTTTATGTTGAGGTGTAATCCATGCTGATTGATGTAATTTTATTTATTTTTTTACTTTTATTTTGAAATTTTATTGTGATTTGGGTGAAAGTTTACAGAACAAATTCATCTTTGATACAGCAGTACTCATACACTGTGTTTCATGACCTGACTATAATCTCCCATAATGCAATAGCTCTCCTCCCAGTTCCTCACCATAGCCACCTCTTCCCTGTGTCCTTTCCTCCCATGCACTCATGCCCCCCCAGGCTGTCTCCTTGGGCATAAACAGCTGTTCTGTCCTGCCATGATTGTTCTCTACAAAGAGTATATCTGCCTAGTGTAAACGTCCAGCTCATGCACCTGTCTTTCTTTGGCTGGAAGCCACAGGAGTGGTTGAATTCCAGACCTGAAGGGCAGCTAGGGACCATAGTCTCAGGGATTCCACCAGACTCTTTTGGACCATGAAACCTGGTCCTTTTTTTTAATTGTGATTTGGGTGAAAATTTACGGAGCAAATTCATTTTCCATACAGCAATTCACATATACTTTGTCTCATGACACTGACTACAGTTTACCACAGTGCAACAGCTCCCCTCCCACTTCCTTCCAATCTTACCTCTTCCCTGTATCCATCCCTCATGCACTCCTGCCCCTTGTGCATAAACAGCCCTTCTTTCTCCCATGATTGTCCTCTCCAAGGAGTGTATCTACCTCAGATAAATGTTCACCTCATATGCCTGTCTTTTGTTTAGCTAGAAGCCACAGGTGTTGGTTCAATTCCAGACCTGAAGGGCAGCTACAGGCCATAGTCTCAGGGGTTCCACCAGGCTCTATTTGTCCAGCAAACCTGGACCCCCCGCCCCAAATGATTTTGAGTCTTCGTCCACATTGTTCTTCCTCTCTATCCAGGATCTCCTGCATAGATCCCCCTTTGAGTGGTTGACAGTGGTAGCCAGACATCATCTAGTTCTTCTGGTCTCATAGTCGTATTGGCTGTGGATCGCATGATGTACCAGTTGCTAAGACTAATTCTTTCCATGAATCTTTGGTTTTCTTCATTCTTGTTTGCGCTGGTTGAGGAAAGACCCATCGTTGCATCTAGATGGCAGCTTGTAAGCTTTTAAGATCCTAGTCACTACTTGCCAAAGTAGGAGGTGGAAAATGTTTTGTGTAATATGTTATGCCAGTTGATCTTGATGTCCCCTGTGACAGTGGTCCCTAACCCTACAGGTTTAACTACTTGGTCCCTGTGGGTAGCTGACTGCGACCAAGAAATGACTACAGCCTTGTCCCTTGTCAGCTCTCCTATACACTTGGGAATTCAGATCACACAAATATACTTATAGGACCATTGTCTGCCAACCCTATACATGGTCTTGGGTACACTCCTCACTTCATAGACATACCTAATATTTCAGCCTGTCCACCCATATACCCATTTTGCCTTCACTGACAACGCAGTATTGTATGTGCAAAAGGGTTCATCTTTGTTGTCTGTATATCCTATGTACCTCTCTATGTCTTTTTCAATACCACCATGTTGATCACTCACATTTAGTACATTGCCCTTCTCTTCACCCAAATCAATACTTATCTGTACCTATCTAATAGTGTTCCCTCCCCTCCCCTCCCACTCCTGGTAACCAACAAAGAAAATTTCCTTCCATAGATAGTCCTTTCCTTGACTTTTACAATAACGGACTAACACAGTATTTGTCCTTCTGTGATTGATTTATTTCACTCAGCGTAATGTTTTCTGATTCAAAGTGGCCAATCCCAGACCATTTCAGTTCACTAATTCCTAGGATATAGATTTTTGTGTGTTGCATTTCATTTTTGATGACCTCTAATTTTCCTAGATTCCTACTTTGTACATTCCATGGTCTGATTATTAGTGGACATTTGCAGCCATTTCTTCTAATTTGAGTCATGCCTCATCAGCAAATGAAAGTCCTGAAAGATTTACACCATCTATGTCATTAAGGTTGATTATATTTTGAGGAAACAGCTCTTCCCCAGTAGTTTTTGAGTGCCATCCAACCTGAGGGGCTCATCTTCCTGCACTGTATCAGATAGTATTCGCTGTTACTCGTAAGATTTTCACCAGCCATGTTTTTCCAAAGCAGTTCACCAAGTCCTCCTCCTAGTTTCTCTACCTTTTTGCAAGGTATACTCATCATTTCACTTAAAATACATTTTTAAGTCATTGCTGTGCCAGTATGTTATAAAATCAGTGTTTTGCAGATAGTAAAATTGAAGTGGTTTAAAATTTTCATTTATACTGCCCTTAATTAAATAATCTATTTAGAACTTTTGAACAAGGTTATGTTTTAAAGTCTTAATTGCTTAACCCAAAGATAAAATTGAACAACCCTGAATCCTTTTGAAACAAGTTATATGGGGTTTTTTTTTTAATCTTTTCAACTATACTTTGATAACTTGCTAGCCAAAGACAGTTTAATTCTAGTAGTGGTTTACTTAAAATGACCCTCCCTGCCCGTTCCCCAAAAAATATTATGCACCTATATTTCCATTTGTTAAAAAATACTTCATGAATAAATAAAGAAAAATAGAAAATTTGAAGAACTGCAATAAGAAAAATAAGCCATACTTGTCATCATAATTCTAACCACAACCAAATTCCACTTTTTGTGTTCAATTGGAGAAACTAACTAACTTGCCCAAGGCTCTGTAGGAGGACCAGAATGAGAACCCAGGTCAGCTAACTCTCATGGTAGTGTTTTCTTACTCTCTTACCTTATGATTAACTAGAAGTATACTTGTGATATTCTGTAATATAGGCATAAGTAATAAAAAAACCATCTGATGAATGCACTTCTTCAGAAGGTTCTGGTGCTTGTGTCCTCAAGTAATGATGTGTTATTAGTTGCTATCAGGTTGTCTCCACCTTATGGTGACCTTATGTATAATGGAATGAAACTTTGCCTAGTCCTGTGTCCAGCTGCATGATCATTGGTGCGTTTGGGTCCATTGACAATAGTTTTTACTTATTTCACCACTCATCTGCCACTTTGTCATACTGTAATTGTTTGTATGAAGCTATGCCACTGGTGTTTCAAAATACTAGCAGGCCTGTCCATGGTGGACAGATTTCTGCAGAGCTTCCAGACTAAGGCAGACTAGAAGAAAGACCTCATGATCTACTACTGTTCATGACAATTGTTGTTGTTGTTATTTGCCGTCGAGTCAGCCCCGACTCATAGCGACCCTTCCTTGGGTTTCTGAGGCAGTATCACTACGGAAGTAGGATTGCCCAACCTTCCTTCCGAGGAGTGGCTTTAGCCATTGATAACCCTATGAATCATATTGTCCAGTATAGTGCTGAGTGCTGGAAGATGAGTCACCTGAGTTAGAAGGCAGTGAAAATACACAGTAGCCATAGCGATGGCCTTAGCATATCATCAGTTGTGAAGGTGGCACAGGACCAGGAAACATTTTGTTCTTTTGTACATGGGGTCACTATGAATTGGGACCAACTCTACAACTAACAACAGTGCCATCATTTACTTATTTTGTTATAATAGTTTGAAACATTTTCTCTACACTAACAATTTCTAAGGAGCTCTGGTAGTGTAGTGCCTAAGGCACTTGACTGCTAACCAGAAGGCTGGCAGTTCAAACCCACCAGCCACTCCTCAGAAGGAAGATGGG